AGTTATATAGGCGAATGATTGGAAGAAAGGGTGAAGGAATGGAGGAAGGAATAAATTAGGACACTTGTGTGGACACTTGCAACGCCTTGTCGCCTCTTTCCAAAAGCTCGACCGGGTCACAACGCCCACGAGAGGGTGGAGGAGGAGGTAATTATACACACATACACAAGCAGTGATCCCGACGATTGTGCCTGCCAGGGTGGCAACAACAACAACAACAACAACAACAATATCAGGATAAGGGAGTGCTAATAGTCAAAGTTCACTCACTCGAAGCGTGAAGACAATTAGTTTGTTTAAACAACCTACTTCATGAATTTGTATTTAATTACGCAGACACTTCCCTATCCTAAGTCTGTATTTCCGCTTTATGGCATGGCCGGTCGCAGGTATGTTGATAAGTAGTATGTTCTATCATTTCGACTTGGCTAATGACAGAGGCAGGATTTGGTAAAATGAAATAAGGGCAGAGTTGTAGAGATTAGTTTAGATAGAAAATGTTAGAGCAGCGATCGGAAGCATTAATGCGAACGAGGGAAGTACATGTGAGTCTACCGGAATTGGCAGGAGGATACTGGCATATCTTGGAAGTCATATAGCCAGAACGGAAGTACAATCTGCGGGCACTGATGTACCCGCGTAATTCAACACTGGATTTAACAAACCATCTAAGCACTCGCTCTACCATATTTATTAATAAGTAAATCCCATCGAATTGTGCAATAATGGTCACTGAAATGTATAGGTAGTTTGTTAATGGCCTCTAGGCTATGCCAGTAGCTGTTCAACTCGTCTGTACGTCAGTAATATAACTGTATTCCACGCTATAAAGATTTCATATAACTCTGAAGAAAGAATCGGTGAGCTAAAATGGTGGAAGGGGAGAGCTAATATGATATATACATATACATATGGTGTGGATGGGATGGATAGCAAATTACGTCCCATTTCGGCATCTACCCTAGTCATATGTTTAACACAAGTGCTGTCAACAACATGCAGTATCCAATAGAGTAACAATGTACAATGTCGGATTCTCGCATAAAATTTTAGGCTGACCAGAAATCCCAATGGACAAAAATTGCCTAATATCAAATGCCGTCTTATTTTTACCCATAATTGATTCCAATGGCGGGGTTTTGCACTTAAATCAGACTACGCAAAGGTAACTGACCCTGGCAATTGACCAGAAAACATTAATAAAATTAAGAGAAAAGGCTAAGCAATGGTTTAACAAGCTGGTTACGCCTTGGTTTGATGTCATAAGCACTTGAGTCTCAAAGGTTTGGACTTCTGCTTGACGGTATAGCCACTAGGCCAAGAAAGTGGACTCAATTAACCGATTCGTCCGCAAAATACTTTCAGCTATGTTAGTGTAATTCTTAAAACTGCACCAACGCCTTTAAACATTTTTATAACAGTCTAAATAAGGAAATGTCACTGTCTAATGAATGCGAACATCATTGTTGCAAAGCAATTAGTATGTACCTCGTATTTTATAAAGAACTTACCGTTATTTCGTTTTTTAAATCAATTGGAAAAACCATTTGCAAGTATTAAGACAAAAGAGCAACAGACAAAATGTTGTTGTTATTATAGCTTGATAGAGTACCTTATTTAGGCAGCGATTTCAAAAGTCAAGGTCACGCGATTCACGTTGGGCGGTTAGTTTTATTGCGCAACACGGCGTTTCCTTGCACTGCAGCATATAACAATTAAAGGGATATCATTCTTTTGGCTGCTAACTATGCAGTCTAAGGCCGTTACTCATCTTGCCATGGTTTTAACATTATTTAGGATTTGGAACAAATTGGGAATGTGATTATAGGCTACAGAGGTTCTTGAGTAATTTGGTTCATCTATCAGCCTCGGCCGACTTTTATTGCGCTGCACTTCTGTTACTTAAGTGCAATTTGGGGGTAGGGAATTTGTCGAGTAATGGTATTTGTTACTTCAGGCCCATTTCTGGGCATTCGCCTTTTATTGCTCTTTCAACCTCGTAGGCTATGCCTCTGATTCCTCGAGTCGAGCGGTTACCGCGTTAGCCAGTCAACTCTCCGTTAAATGTTCACATCGAGCAAGCTTTCACCGCACTACAGAAGACACGCAAGTCAGCTTCGCACCTGTGTGTGACTCACAAGTAGAGCTTGGTGAAGTGTATCTGATGTGAGTGGCTGCACACCCACTGGCAGCGATTATTGACGCTCGACAGAGTTGTGCAAAGACAACCCGTCACACCTCGTACCAACTCCTGACCATCATATTACCACAGACTTGTAATAACTCCTCCCTCTAGGAAAATCCACATTCGAACCACAACAACACCCGCTCCCTACCGCCACACCCTTTCACTTGCCAAAAGACGTCAAATCCCACTCTGTGAACATGAAGATAGCGGAACCGGAGACAAAACCAAATTTAACAATGAAGGCAGCTTTAAATGAGGAGATAAAAGAGATGCATTATGACAAACCGGCAATTTATTCCCAGTTGTGACAGAGGAACATCGAATTTATGCATAAAGGAAACACTTTAACACACACTGATGGGATTAATTATCAACAAGACATTCTCATTGTTGAGAGAGGGAGAGAGAGTTAAAACAAGGTGTCATGCAGATACATAGATAAGGGTATTATACATAAAAAATAGATACACAACAAGGGGACTACTTTTTGACACGGCCTCTTCGTATTGGCTTCAAGCTTGGGGAAGTAGCCACATTTCGCCTTGACGAGGTAGCAGCTGACCTCTTTCTGGTTGGCCTCGGGATACTCTCACTTTCTGGTGCGACGTGTCGTGACGAGGCTCCACGTCTCCTTCTAGCAGCAGCTGCTGTGGCACCACCATTGGCTTCACCCTCATCAAAAGTACTTGCTACATCACCCGTGTCAATGATCTCAGGATCAGCGAACTGTACTTTTTTTCTCCCCCTCACCTGTTTTTGTCCTACGGAGGAGTTCACCGCAACATTTCTTGGCGCTGTTCTTTTACTTCTCCGCAACAAAGTCGATTTTGGAGACAGTGACTTCCAAGAGGATTCATGGCGTTTTCGTCTAGTGGCTGGAGTCCCAGTAACCGCGGAGATGTTTGAATTGACTGTTCTCACACCTCTTATTTTCAGATCGGTTGGGGATGATGATGGAGAAGAGTTTAAAGCAGCATCACGAGGTGATGAACCAGTTTTTCGATTGCTACCCTTTTTCGAGGGACGAATTGCGGAGGCAGTGTCTTTTTCGTCACCTTCAGAGTGGAGATTAGCCGGTAGGACTGGAGAATCCCGCGCTGAATGGTGTGGTGACAATCTGCCCTTCACATCTTTGGTTAACTTTGCCTTAGAGCTACGTGTTACTCTCATTCTGACGGATTCTCGTTGGACTGTTTCCTTTACTTCATGCGACAGTGGTTCAGCAACGGGAGACAACCGCTTGCGCTGCCTCCTTTGTGCTGGTGAAGCACTGGACTTCATGGACTTAGCAAGAACTGATTTTGTGCGACCTCCACGTTTCCTTTGGATTTTTTCAGCTTCCGCATCTAACTTAGCGACAACCTTAGTCCTCAACGTATCCTTAGCTAGAGTAGACGTCTTCGTTCTGGAACGTGTCTGGCGAACCTCATTTATCTCAGAAGTCAGAGCCTGAGAGGCATCATCGCCTTTCGATTTCAGCAACCTGCGCCTTTCCCCAAGAGAGGACAACTGAGTTGCGTTTAATCGCTCGGGTCTCGATGTTGCGTTTTTTTGCGGAGTAATATCAGAATTCGACGCATCTAGCGTGTTCACAAGATCCTGGAGACCGGAGAGTCTAGGAAATGGGGGAGACATTGGAGCATTCACGAATGCACGGGTTTCTGAAGAATTTGGTGAAGCCTTTACCTCCAGTGCTCCCACGAGTTCTTGTACACCAGACAGACTTGGGGATGGTACGGACTTTGGAGTGTTAATTAACTCTCCAATGCCTGATAGTTGTGGAGAAGCCTGAACCTTCGGAGTTTTCACGAGTCTTCGAACGCCAGATAGTCTCGGAGAGGGCACAGATTTCGGCGTCTTCACTAATTTTCGAATGCCTGACAGTTCTGGGGAAGCCTGAATCTTCGGAGTTTTCACGAGTCTTCGAACGTCCGAGAGTCTCTGAGGGGGCACAGGTCTCGGAGTCTTCATTAATTTCCGAATGCCTGACAGTTCCGGTGAAGCCTGAATCGTCGGTGTTTTCACAAGCTTTCGAAGGCCTGATAGTCTCGGAGAAGCTTGAGCGTTCGGAGTTTTCACAAGCCTTCGGACAGCAGATAGTCTCGGAGAAGATACAGATTTAGGTGTCTTAATTGTCTCTCGAATGCCTGACAGAATTGGTGAAGCCGGAACCTCTGCGGTTTTCATGAGCTTTCTTACGCCAGGTAATCTTGGAGAGAGCACAGACCTCGAAGTCTTCACTGGTTCACGGATGCCTGACAATCTTGGTAAATCCTGAACTTCTGATGTGTTCATGGGGGGAAGCGAACCGGAGAGTCTGGCATATGATTGAATCTCCAGCGCTGGACTAGTTTGACTTGGTGGAACAATGCCGATATCGGAATGGGGTGAAGTAGGCATATTAATGGTCTCCTGAGCACCAGATAATATTGGGGACGGCGCAGTCCTTGACGTTCTCATAAGTCTACGGGTACTAGATATTCTTGAAGAGGACTGCGCCTTAGGTGTAGCCGTAGAAGAATGCACATCTGGAAGGCTGTCCGGCAAGGGAACATTCAATGTATCCATGGTCTCGAAGCGCACTTCTGGTGACGACGAGTTCGACAATGACGTGTTTTCGACATGCAATTGTTGAACACTTGATTGCAGCGCAAAAGGAGTAACACTGGACAAAGCCTGTAAATCCAAAGCATCCTGACTTTTTGAGGTGGAAGACGGAGGACGAAGCCAACCAATGAGTTTGGATGAAGGAGGTGATCTTCCTCTCCTTCCATTTAGTGCTGTATCCGAAACTTCAATGGCGATGGCAGAGGTCCGGCCAGCAGAACGATGAAAAGGAACCCCTACTGACCTTCTATGTCGGGATGGAACCTTTTCGACAGAGGATTTTCCACGTCTGCCGGAGCGCATCGGCGGGAATAAAGGTGAAGTAACATGGGAGCTACTCCCGCTATCCATATCGGCGTTGGACCCATTAGTCACGATACTTTGACGTTTAGAGGACTGATCATTTCCCGTATCTGCTAATTCAAGTGACGAAACATTTGAAAGCCTCGTCGGCTTTGTCAAAGTGGCATAGGATATATCCGATGCAGAGGCATCTAGGTTACCACTAGCTGAGTTTCTCAAAGGAGCCGTGGAATCATCTATAGACGAATCCACAAGATTCCTTGGCAAACCACGAGGAGTTGACTTGGTTCCCAATCCAAATGATGCATTCTGTGGTTTAAGTAGCTGCGTCGAAACGTTATGTCCAGTCTTCAGCGTTAAGGGCAATGAAGTTGACCTACGATGCTTCACAATTGATGTGCAAATGCGTTGAAGCGAGCTAGGAGGCGGCAGCTCGCCACGCTTAATCGGTGTTGAAGGCGGTAAACAGGAATCAAATTGCTCAGGACTCAAGCTCGGACCGAATTGTACACCTTTTTTCACAACGCGACATCTATCTAAATGATCCCGACTCTTACTTTGCCGAGACTTGGCAACCTCCTGACCATAATAGACGCCTTTAGATGGCGTACCATTTTCAACACTTACTCTACTATTGAATTTGCATGTTGCTTCGGCCAAAGTAGACTTGTCCGGAGCAGTGCTGTCTAGAAATATATTTTGGTTAGCTTAAAATGTCAACCTACCGGAGAAGCTTCGGCGAATCAATGAATTCCGATTCATTCTTTTGTTGGTAGAGGTTTCATGCTGGGAGGCTGGTGATGTAGGAGACTTCTTACGTGCATCAGGAATTGTCTCAAGATCATCAGCAAAGCAGACATTTTGCAAAACATTAGCCTTTGATTTGCCCGACAACAAGAGAGTCGAAGATGCATTGAGTGATTTAGAAGACTCGTCAAATAAATCGAATTGAGCGGTTTGATCCGTGTTTAATGAATAATAGGAAGAATTATTTGTCTGCAACGTCTCTTCTTTTGAAGCAGAAGATGAACGCAGATGTCTGACGCTTGGTGATCCAGATGTTATAGGAGTTTCAGAAACATTTGTCTTCACCCGTTTCCTCGTAGGACTTTGATACTTGTCGGTTTTGGAGGAGCGACGCTTCAGTGAATGACGTACGACACTAACTACAGGTGGCGTTGCCACAGGTCGTGTGGGCGTCGGACCATAGCGCTCCTTCGTAGAGAGTCCTCTACGCTGAGACGATAAGGTCGGAGTCTTAACTCGTGTAGATTGTAACGGTGAATGTTTTGGCGAACTAGACATAACCGTTGCAAACGAGGACACATCGGAAATGCACCGTGGTGAACTTCCTAACAATGGAGAGAGAGGAACGCCTTTTTTGGCACCTGATAACGCCTGCGGATAAAACAAACTTCTATTCAGAAGACAAGACTTGGAGAAAGAAAATTACTTATTCAGGAAGCACTAACCATACAATAAGTAAGAAGCGCAAGAGAATACAACATTGACAACAACATCTAACCAAGTTGACTCAAGAAAATATAGCTAGATGGAAACTAGTACAATCGCCAAGTCTGACCTAACATCGGAGTGAGAAGTCGTAAAACTATTATTCTTACATAACGTACAGATTTAAAAATGTAGGCGGAGTTCTCTGGGTAGAGAAACTTGAAATTCCGATCTACCACGGTCAAGAGACTATCATGAGCAACGAATGTCCTCTCGGTAACAGGAACGCCATTTAAGAAGGTTTTTGTGGTCTTCGAAAGATTTTCAACAAAGACACGTCCATCTGCCATTCTTTCCAGTTTACAGTGAAGAGGAGCAACAGTATCCAATTTGATGTGTACATCACAGGACCCATCACTATATATCACAAGGTGCAAAGCGACTTTACCTTCCAAAAATGCACCTATCTGCGCGCCAGTCACAAAAGGATCCCGAGGTTCCATCCCGTTTAAGTATAACTATATAACCACGAAGTGTCATTCTAACTTAGGAAGCCAAAAAAGAAGACAACAACCTAAGAAAGCATAGGTCCCAGAATCAAAATTCACACAGGCGCGCATCGCCCCTAACATACTATGTTAACAGCTAAAACAAAAACACCCAAATTTAATATTAAGTGAGCTTCTCGTACTTTATACCTCTTGTTACGTTCGACTAAAATTCAACGCTTTCAAATACTACTTTGCGGTAAAACCGGCAACAGTGGTTAGTATCCATGACGTCGTCGAAAAGTAGGATGGACTGAAACCACTGTCGGCAATAATGTAAGCCCCCGCTGAGATGTGGGTAAGAAACTAGCAAAACTAAAGTTCTTGCTCTGCATTGGACCTGAACACTGCCCTGGACTCTAAGTCGGCCTTCTCGAAGGCCGACTGAAATACAGCTAGGCAACAATAGGAAAACGTGAAATAAGCTATTTATCAGCTTATTGCAATGCCAAGGCAAAAAATATGGAAAATTAATCTAATTCATTTTCAGATCCATCGATGAGATACGAAGGTGGCTGTTGGAAGTCAGACTCAAATTCATCCATACGTGTTGTGTCAGCGCCTGCTCCCTCCAGATTGAGGCATGCCAAGAGACAAACGATGTTGGTGGCCTGCTGCAGATAACCAAACTTCCGCAATGTATTGTCGGGAGTATCAAACTGACTAATAAATCTAGTTAGGCCTTCATGTTTTGTTTTGATTCCCAGAGTGATGAGGCAATAGAGCACACTAATAACATAATGACATATCATGGAGCGACGAATGAAGTTCCTCATATTGATAACGCAGACCTCCTCATCACCCTTCTCATTTGGTGCCTTTTCATGAATCTCATTGTGGGGGTTCTTTTGCATTCTCTGATGTACCAGGACTACTGTGAGACCAATACACGGCAGAAGATGGAGAGAGCTGAGTCTCTGTGCGTAGTTCATGTCAATACCACGAGTCCTATATGCAGTGAAGCTTTCCACCTGGTACGACTCATTTGGCAAGTCAAAAGTTGTAGGGGCAAGAAAGGCATTTGCAATGAAACTTAGGATCAGACTAAGACCGGATACAGATTTCAGCGTGGATGGTGTCATATTAGAGACATCTGCACAAAGGAAAAGGTGTAGGCCCACACTCAGGTGTTGCAACACATCCATTATGTAGGAGATTGTTCCATAATGTCTTTGTGAGATGAGACCGACCAGATCGACTCCGTAGTTAGAATACAGCGCAAATTGTAGCACATCCATCAAGTTGAACAATACATCAGAGCCAATCAGAGCAATAAGGACATTGCGTATTCTCCCACTGGGTAATTCATGCTTCCTGAGTGTTTGAACAAAAAGATACAATACACTCATCTGTAAACCAAGAATATAGGGCAAAAACCATGAAGGTTGAGGTGGTGGTGCTGAACCCGCAGGCTCTGAAAACTCCTCCTCCACCTTGATAGACGACTCATACAAATCGGCGATGTCATCATGTGCAAAGTAATAAATTCCGTGTTTGATCAAATTTGACACCACAATATTGGCAAAAATAAACTTTACAGAATCCATCTGCCATACAATGACCTTGTCAATCAGCTGATTTGTCCTTTCAAATAGGAAAAAATCGATACAACAAGTAACTGCACTTTTGCACATGCAAAAAACGCGCGGATTTTAGTAGATTTAAAGGAGGAATACAACAAAAAAGAATGCTAGCTGCAACTACCAAGTCAACGCATAGGGTGACAAGTAAATTATCTGGTGGACGAGATCCTGTTATCGTCGATTGCTGCAGGGGACCCCAAAAACCCTCCACTCGTCCTCGGTCTTCTTACCTACACTCTCAAGCTGCAGGTGACGGAAGAGACTTAGTACTGGGAAAAAGTGCCTACGACATTAAATTACCCTCATATAGTTCAATAAAATCGTCAAGTTTAGAGTCCATGGACGACTACACGGCTGATGTACATCGAATTGCCAAATCCCGCACACACACGTCAACGTCAGGAGTGGAGAATAAGACCAATCTCATTGTCAATTACCTGCCACCAAATACATCACAGGAAGAGGTCCGATCGCTATTTGCCGGTATTGGGGAGCTTGAAAATTGTAAACTTGTACGTGAAAAATCCACAGGAGAAAGCTTGGGATATGCATTTGTCAAGTACTACAATGCGATGGATGCCAAGAAGGCGATTGACACATTTAATGGTTTAAAAATGGAGAATAAAACAATCAAGGTGTCCATAGCTCGTCCAAGTTGTGATGCCATTAAAGGAGCCAACTTGTACATTTGTGGTTTACCAAGAAATTTAAAAATAAGTGAATTAGAGGACATTTTTAGGCCTTGTGGACGTATTATAACCACACGTATTCTGTGTGACAAGAAGACTTCAGCTTCTCGTGGCATCGCCTTCATTCGCTACGACCGACGCTCGGAGGCGGAACGCGCCATCAAAAAACTTAATGGCTATAAATTCCCCGAGACAAATGATATAATGATGGTAAAATTTGCTAACTCACCCGGTTCCCATTCGGACAGTCATCGTTCCTTGTCATCACGATCGACGGTAGCATCATCCGGCTATCGAAGACAAAAGGTGTCACCCGCCTCAGCGACATCAACACCTCAAAAGTCAAAGTATTGCGACACCGAGGATTTAACCGCCCTGCCAACCGCAGCCCATACACCGCCTACCACCAGTCTATTCCAAGTAAAAGTGCCACAGTTCTACAATCTTGAGCATCCACGAGCTACACCGTTTTATCCACCTACGATGTCACGTTTTGGGGTGTATGGCAATGAGTACACCATCCCCGCACCGGTTAACCTCAACAGACTATTTTCAAATCCATCATGGCAACGAACACAATTGGGTTTCTGTCAATTAGCAGCTTGGGGCTACCTGCAACAGCCAATGTCGCTGTCAAAGATGAGGCATTCAATGCCACCTTACAGAGGTGAAATCACCACCGGGATTCCTCTCACCAACTTCTTAGTACATAGGCCGTCTCCTCCTCAAATCCATATCCCATGTATAAAGCGAGGCAACATTCCAAGTGAGATTGACATGTCAGCATCCATGAAAGCCCTATTAGCGCCTGCCTACGCTGCGAATGCCGGTGCCTTGACAACTAATGGGTGGTGCATAGTTGTACGTAACCTCGGTGCTGACACCGACGACGCGGTGTTGTGGCAACTGTTTGGTCCTTTTGGGGCTGTTCATACCGTAAACGCGGTAATCGACCCAATGACAGGCAAGTGTAAAGGCTATGGTTTTGTAACAATGAGCAATTATGAAGAGGCGCTGAAGGCTATTCAAGCTCTCAGTGGCTTCATCCTAGACAATCGAATACTTCAGGTCTCCTTTAAAACAAATGCCACCTTTCCCGACTACCTGGGAGACAACCAATGTGTGGGCAAACCTTTTCATGAAATTTTTAAACGTAACAATATTAAGATAAAACGACGTACCCGACGTCCGGAGACCTAATCTCATCGCCTCCTTGATGTAGTGATAGGATTCCTGATCAAGGAATGATAATGTTTGCAAATATTTGACACTATTGAGGTTTGTGAATACTTTTTGATGTGTTTTAAACAAAAAGTGGGCAAAAGTTGATATTATCTTTTTGTTGGAAAAAAAGGGATAAAGACCAGTAATGCCATCTACAGTGTGCAGCGAGTTGAGCAGGAAATGGATTCCACATTCACCGAGTTAATCTACGCCGGGTAGATTACCTCGTGTTGGTCAAACAAAACCACCGGGAGTGCAAGCCTGGAGAACAAATGACAGACATGTAAGTAGAACACTGTGTAGAAGGTTCATAGGAGACACGACAAAGAAAGTGGCATCCCTTCATTACACCACGTCCTTGCCCCAAACAACGTCAGAGGTAGTAGAAAGCCATTAAAAAACGCATGAAACGACATAACGTACACAAACTTAATTACTTAGGCGACAGGGAATGAAATTACGATACGACTTGTATTCAAACAATAAAATATGTACAAACGGAGGTGGATGGGTGCGCTTTAATTTGCGCTGATGTCGCAGACCTTGCAAATATCCTCCATGGACACATCACGAACCATACGTCCACGACAGAGTCCCTGGGAAAAAAAATCGCCAAGATGTAAATCACCTCTCCTAACCATCTACTCTTTCAAATTTTCTCATTCTCAATCAAGTAGGGCTGCTTACCGATTCAATGACAATATCCACCCGAAACCTTTCTTTGTCGACCTGCTTAAGAATGGCCACCTCACCGCGATAGGCGCCATTGACAACGAGAACAGGATCACCAACGGGAGGTATAACTGTTTCCACGTGATCCTGATCGACCTTCAGCTTCGTCTTTGAGGTATTTAGTACTCGAACGATAGCCTGCAACAAAAGGCTATTTTAGGAACTTACAAATAAACTGTACTCATTTAGAGCCGAAATAGTGTGGATTTCGGTGGGTTACCGTGTAGTCATCTTCCATGTCCAGAATCACGGCATGGCGATAGAGGAGGTCTTTGGGAAGTTTATAGTATGTCAGTTTAACCTCAATTCCAACAGTCATCCAGTAATCCTTGCGGTTACGTTTTTCTTTGTACATTTCCTCCTCAGCCATCAGTTCATCCAAACTGCTTCGTTTGACTCCAGCTGATGAAGATGACGTAGCTACCACTGAGGAATTGTTTAGTTTGTCGGCGTCAGAAAGAGCTCGGTTTTTCTGTGCCTTCTTCTCCGCCAATAAAAGAGGATTCTAAAGGCAAGATTCGACAAAATTTGGCAGTGATTATCTAAGCTTACTTGTTCAACTTTGGATGCTACTATGATGTTGAAGTAGACTACAATAACCGATAAGTGGTGACTGCGTTTAAAATTCTCAGGTTCTAAAAAGCCATGCAGTACCTTAGAATCGGATAATCAAAAAAAGAATAAAAAAGATGCAATTTTAGAGAAAAATACCATACTCACAATGATTTTCTGAACTTTTCCGGCGGTTTCTGATTTTTCCACTACTGAGATTTTTGGGGATAATACACGACCGGAGGCGCTTGGCGACATCTGATCACTGCTAGTAGGCTCGTCAACGTGGTCCGACTTTTGTATATTCTCTGGGATATTAGACTGTACATCAGTATCGCCAACCTGTGAATCGGATTTGGCTTTGGCTGAACCGAGCTGCAGGTCCAATTTTATAGGGGCATTATCATCTTGTCGAATGAGGGGTTTCACCTCCTTGGAGTCCTTTTCGTCCGTTACCGGTTTGCTAGCTGCAGCCTTCTCTATTTGCTTAGCTGTAAAATGTTCGTAAAACGCTTGTCAAAAAGTATGAGGCTATGAAAAGGGAAAAGAATCAAAAGCAAACCATCAATGCCCAAGAAAAGCACCAAAATTTAAGCACAAAATCTGTCGAAAGTGCCTAGTCAGAGGCAGGTAGTAGTAGTCGTTTATGTAGCAACAAGAAATAAAAACCCAGTCATGCTGAGACCAGGCGAGAAGTAGGCTAGCATACCCAGTAACTGACGATTTATCTCGTCCTCAGTTTTCGTCAGTCGAGCATCAGAAGCCCTCCGACTCTCGGCTTCAGGATCGCGATCAATATACTCAATATACCAACCCTTTTCAGTCTCATCAACACGACAGATACCCTGTTTGCCGAGCCACAGACAGAGACCGGTAAGCGAATGCCATCGAGTGGCGTTCATGTGAATGTGTTCCTTATCCTTTATGTATTCCTGATACACAACATTAGCATGAACTCGCTTGCCGCCAAATTGACGCCTCACAATGTCCAGATAGCCTTTGAGAAATTCAGAAGAAAAGCCACTAATGAATTTCCCACCATTCTCCATGAAGATTTTCATTTGACGATGATGTGATTCCGAATTTGTGTGACATTTGTACCCATTTTCGTCTCGGCACTGCTTTTGACACATTTGACAGTACCATCGCAGCTTCTGTAATCCTTTTGATTTGATACGGTTTGAAATTGCCTTAGGAGTGAGGAATCCCGGCTTTTCTTTACCCATGGAACTACAAAGGCAAGATAATGATGGGCAAAAGCCTTCTTATGAATAAACGCTGATTATTATATCGTAGATCAGACTTGCAGCAATTTTTGTCGAATTTACCGAACCAAATTGCGACCAGAGCCAAAGTAAGCCTAAGCATTAATTTCACAACATGTGAGATATTATTAAACGACTGGAATATACATAAAACGTTCATAAGTCTCTGACTTAAAAGTCAAAGAGCAAATCAGGAGAAAAACTCGAAAACATAGCATCAAGCAGGACATAAGGCTACCTATTGTTACAAAAGTAGGAACAATGCATTTGACTAAGTTGGAGATTACATATGACTGCACACATCAATCGCACACAAACATCTTGATTCAGCGACACAATTTAGACAAAAGGCTATGTACACAAAGGTAATAAAAAAACGTTAAGAGCTAATCAAAGTCAAAGCGACATTAAAATATTAGGCTTTTTAGGGAAAAAACTTTGCAAACAATTTAACTAGGGAAACCACAGTATTCCCCAATCCGACAAGCAACAGATAATACACAACTACCTTCAAAAGAGGCACAATGGAAAGCGTGTTATTTAGTGAAGACCAACAGTGCAAACACATTTTTTTGGTATTAAAAAGTTATTTTTGAAGCAATTAAGTAGAAAACTTTGCTTTCGATGCTAAAAATAAGGGGACTCAAAGGTGACTGCTTTTAAAATTTAAGGTATAAATAAATTACAGGCAAAATGCGCCGAAACCTAACGTTTTAAATGCACAAAACACGAAAAGATTTACAGCCTTTTGAGTGCTAAGTTCTTCTTTTATAGCCCGTCTGGTTCTTCGCGACAAGAATTTTTAACCTTCTTGCATGCTTCACTATAATACCTAGGCTGTTTTAATGTTCGTCTCGGTTTGGAGGCGGGCATACGAGTCGGGCCGCGTGAATGAGTAGTATGCGTCTTGCATTTGGGCGAAGGGTTCCGTGTCCACAGCCCCTTGGACTTGAACTCACTTTAACCATTTACCTATCCTAATAAGCACGACGAAGTCAAATCAAACTAGTTGCTCTAAGTGTATGAGGGCCAGGGATTATCTTGTGTGCCGTGTCCCCCCCCCCTAAGCGATCCTCTTGCAAGTCACATCTAAACATCGTGTTTAGTGTAACATTAATCCGGGCGATCTAAACATTGAAGGCGAAGCTTTCTAGATTCAATGAACTGTATGCTTTAACTCTCATTCTTTCCACACTAGTAGACCTAAATTGCGAATCCAAATCTCCAAATGTGCAATAATCATCTAACGATCGGGAATTCGCCACATTGTCCCATAGCTTTCATCTTGTGAAGCCAGTTTGGAGTGTTTTTAATAAACACTTCCAAACGTGCTTTCTAAACGGTCATCCTATCATTTAAATGGCTTTGGGGATTTTCCAAAGCTGCCTATTTACATCAAAATATAAGCTGACCCTTACAATGATGCAATTTTTACAATTGTGTAATGCCTTCTTTGTCTCCTGATTTTGCCCTTCATTTCGCACCATTTGATCAAGAAGATGAAGTGGAGCGACTTAAAACTCGCCGGTTTTTTGCCCTTCTTTCTAACTCATTGACCTCTGCTTCTTGTAGTCTAACCTTGCATCATGCAAATTGTGCTTACAGACGCCTGTATGACAGTAATTGAGGTCTCACGTTATGTGACTGCGTCTCCTCACGCAGATTCAAACGCGCTTTTCTATACTGCATCGAAACAAAAACCAACAACTGCCTGTGTATTCTGTGCTCTCTACACACGCAATGTTCTGGTCCTCCACGCTTCGCCTAGCAAAGGTTCAACCAAGTGTATGAAGGCTTTGGATAGCCGGGGAAACCAAAGTTCCATCCTCCTTACCCGGAGCTTGGGGTTCGAGTTCACCCCTCCCCACTTAACCTCAAACACGCAAATCTCAACAGCGTGCCTCCACCTCCCCACAACAGTCCCGACGACTCCATCAAAATCTCAATCTTACTTTCTCAGCAAACTTTCTTCACAGAGACATTAAAAAACGCATCTTCAAAGAAAACGCCAACAATAAAATCCATACCTATTTACTGTCAGAGGGCCAAAAATATTTATTTCATAGCGAAACATCTACTTCAACTTT